CTTTCTTTCTTTCTTTCTTTCTTTCTTTCTTTCTTTCTTTCTTTCTTTTTCTTTCCTTTTTTTTTTTTGTGGCGGGCATGGGGGAGAGTACATTCCAAAGACAAAAACTGCTCTTCATATATGTGAATGACATTTAACAGTAATTATTATTACTAAATAAATTTAACAGCCAGATCAAGTTTAGAAGCTGTAACTTCAGAATCTTGAATGTAGATAATTAAGGCTAAAAAGCAAAGCTAAGAAATAAGGGGGAGAGACAGGATTTTTTTCAAAATACTTTGCTCTCACAACAGGAAAAAAAAAAGACAGTTTTCCTGGTATAGAATATGCTTTGCAATTCAGTTTCCCCTGACACAGCACTGTAACATGTGTCTCCCAGGAGAGCTTTAATTGCATCATCCCCACCACCTGATCCACCCGCAACCACAACACCAAACATCGGTGTTCTCAAGTGTTACCGGCCCCTTTGTCAGAGATACTATCTTTCCCCTCTCATCTCTCCTCCATCAATACAATTTGACCAAGTTCCAGGGCAAATACATTCAACCTGACTATGCTCTCCTCCCCTTAATAAGTGAGACTAAAGAGAAGGATTCATAGCATTGCCCAGGTCCTACGACAGTGTAAAAGTACTAGATAACTAAGCCCCCAGACCATCTCTATCAAGAGCCATCAGGTTGCTTATTTCATGAGCAGACAGCGTCAATGTTCGATGTACCTCTCCTAACTTCTGATTCTATTTCTGAGCCAAGACGCCAGAAAACCAATTCCCTCCTAGATTGCAGCTTAACTCAAGGACCTAGAGATGTGGCTTTGGTTTGATTCCCCACCTCTGCTATAGAGTTGCTGGTGACGTGAATAAAGGACCCCTATTCTTTCCATGCCCTGGGGGGACACCGAACACAGAGGCCCCAGGCACCAGCCCTTTATGCCTCTTTCACTTTTTGCTCCCTCTTCTTCTTCCCCAATGCCCTTGTGTGCCTGGTTACCCTTGACTGGGGCCTTGTATCCTGTCTTCATCAACCCACAGAGTAAGGAAACACACAGCCCAAGACTCCCTGACCTATTCAACGCACTCAGCTAGTCTATTTTTGGTTACTCTGTTTGTTTTCTTCTCAAAAGAACCTAATTCCGGTCTGTATCTTAGGCATCCTACCATGGACACAGAACTCTACCCTGGTGCCTTCTCCGCAAAGTGACTCCTTGTCATCCAGAGTCCTGAGGAAAGAGGACCAGTACGGCGGTGCTCTAATTGGTAAAGCAGACTTGAACGTACACTTTCTAATTTATACTCTCTGTAGTTATGTAAATAACCTATTCTGCGTTCATAAAATGCCCCATTTAGAATGAAGAAAGACATGCCAGCTACATTTCTGGAGTTTGTAGACACAAGTGGCAAGCACCCGACACGGTTCAGCAGTCGTGAACACATACACTCCCACCAGCTTCTATATACTGAAAACCCCACTTCCTGTAAACAAAGACAAGCCCAGGCATTTGCCTGGACTCTTCATCATATCCTGGTTTAATCTGAGGTAGCTGTACCTCTGACATGTCCATTAAAAATAAGTTCCATTTTGCCTGTCATCTATCACAGAAAGATTTCCTGAGATAAAGCAAACACTAAGGAAGTAACTATAAAGCCAGATCCAAAAGGAGGTTCAAGGGAGACTTCAGACAGTTAGTTACCTTCTACAATGAAGAACATTAAAAAAAAGAAAAGAAAAGAAAAGAAAAAAATGGCTATGAGATGAAGTCATATGAGCACATACACCAACAGATATGCATACACATGTTGCAGCCTTCAGATAAAAAGCCAGTGATGGGAAAGGGCCGAATATCGACACCTTCAGGGTTATCAAAGAATCAGGTCTCTTGAATATCTGTAGGTGCGTATGAGAACATCTGTTACTGATCTCTTCTTTGTATTGATTCCTTGGTTTGATAGTTGTTACCAAGAAGGATAGGCAAAGCAGTGACCCAAAGCTTCAGGGTGACAGCTCACCAAGACACATTTGGATTTTTACATTACAAAGAAAAAGACAAAAAAAACTAACCTAAAAGCAGGGCAAAGCAGCGTTTCTCTGCCCTTCAGCCTGCCCTGCCTCTGCTCCTGTTGAGCTAGGACGGGAAGGAAACACCAAAGGGCATCTGACCACACATTACAATCACCTGGTGGCAATGGCAGGGCCCTCACCAGTTTTAGCGTTCGATTATTTCCAGGAAACTGCAGCTGTTGTAACTGCCATTCAGCAAGAGCTGGAGAAGAAGCGACACCCAGCGATGTATCTTACCGGAGAAGGATAGAGGTGCAGGCAAATGTAGAGCAGGCATAGGAGCAGCCCCACTCCCTGAATCCCAGAGACCACCATCGATAGCTTCTTCCACTTGATTCTTGGCCTTGATCCACTTTCCAGATGCTCGTCCAGGGGCTGAACCCCTTCCCTTTCCATCTTCACAGTCTGTGTGCAGAAAAGGTGCAGATCTGGGGAAGGGGAACCTGGGGAAGACTGGTCTTTACCACAGAGAAGATAAGGGCACAGCCAAGCCTGTGGGTCAGAAGATAGACAAAGGTCCCAGAACCTGAGACAACAGGCAATTGAAGGAGTGAGGCAGACTCTCTCAGTTTTAACTCTGCAGCTTTTGCAGGCGGGGGAACTTCTATGTGACTAATCTGAATTTCCCCTTTACTTTCTTTCTTTTTTTTTTTTCCCTCTGGGCTAACAGGGAGTTGTTTTTGTGGCATTCCAGTTATGAATCGAGTGACTTCAAAATGATAGTCACAAACATGTGCTATTAGGTTTTTTATTGCAGTTAAGTTTTTATTGCACCAGTAACGATAGATAAAGATCATCTTTTTGTTCTTTTACCCCCCCCCTTTTTTAAGCACAGCTTCTTTATCAATCCCTCAAGGTGTCTTAAACCACAGAAGAGATTTGAGGAAACTGCTGCCCTGACATCCTTGACTGTATTATGCAACTAATCTCCCAGCCCTTTTTACAGACTCTAAAATAAAACCCATGCAATTTGTGCTTGAGATCAAAAGGACAAAGAGGATGGTGGATTATGCAGACAGGCACAAAGGTGAGGTCTTAGAGTTACATAATGCTTTGCGTTAAACCAAATAAATTAGTATTTATTGAACACTTGCTATGTGTCAGACACTATGTTAAATGACCTTGCAACTATCATATTTATTCGTTTCAGGGAAACTCAGTAAACACATAATTATTTTCTTAATATCAGAAAAGATACAGAAGAAAATTCTGCCCTCCCCTCCACTGAACTTTTTATTTTCCCCACACATAACCTCTGCATGAGTAACTCGAATTACCTTTGAGTGTTGCTCTTTTCTTCCAAGTGCTGGCTGGACTCAAAACCTGCTAAGTAAGAATATCTTCCCAGGGCTGGAGAGATGATTCAGCGGTTAAGCTCTACCTAAGGACTGGGGTTCAATTCCCTGCCTTACATGGTGGCTCACAAGCCATCTATAATTCTACTTCTAGAGGATCTGACTCCCTTTTCTGACCTTTGTGGGCACCAGGCATGCAAGTGGTGCACATGCATGCAGACAGAATATCCATATATTAAAAATGAAAACAAAAACTTTACAAATATACCCTTCCAATCAACATCGGTCACCCTTTCTCACTGGCATGCACTTGAAACTAAATAAATGTGAAATAATAATGTCAGGTCCAAAATGGTAAAATATTTACTGAATATGTGATATGAAGTCAATGCTCTGTAAGATAGTGCAGGGATGCTAGACATTATTCTCTCTCTACCTGTCTCTATAGGAAAGTCTGTCTTATGGTTTCTCATGGAGCCTTCAACAGATATTTAAAGAAAGAAGTGAGAGAAAACATATTCTGAGTGCTAGAAATATAAGATACACAAAACTTCAAATTTTTCACAATTAAAAACAATTACGGATCTGAGTTATATTCAAAAGAAGAATAAGCGGTAGGAAATGGAAAGTACTTTGGCACAATATTCAACAATTTCAATAATGAGGCTTTGCCTTTGAAGAACATACTGGACCTAAGTCATGCATCCAAGATTTAGAGCCAAAAGTGGGACTCAGGTTCTGCAAAAGCTACTCTGGCATAAAGAGATTCCCTCAGCAAGGTGTGAGTGAGGCACAGGGTGCGAAGACAAAAGGTGAAAGAAAAATCTGTGTGTAACTCCTGCTTTGCATAGTATGCAATTAAAAATATGACTGAAATAGATGTTAGGGAAAAAGCCCTAAACTCTAATAGAAGCTAGACACAAGCTGAAACAGTAGAAATGCATTCATGTTGAAAATCACAAGGAATAGTCTGGCAAGGCATCAGTGTATGAGTGTGTCTGTGTGTGTGTGTGTGTGTGTGTGTGTGTGTGTGTGTGTGTGTGTGTGTTCGAGCACATGAGTGCAAGTATTTGCATGTGGGGTGGCATGTGCATGGTGGAGAAATCCATGTGGGGGCACATGCATGTGTGGCTACATGTAGTGGCTGGAGGTCGATGAACATCAGGTGTCTCCTTCAGTTGTTCTCCAACTTAGTCTTTGAGGAATGATCTCTCCCTGAACCAGGAACTTGCATTTTGACTAGACTGGCATACATACAAGAATTCTCCTGTTTCAGTTTCCCTGGCTCAGGGGCAATAAGCATGCTCTACTGCAACCAACTTTTACATGGATGCTGATTCAGAACCTCATGTTTGCGTGGCAAGTACTTTACTGACTGAACCATTTCCCCCAAGTCTTATGAATATTTTAAATGACTGCCGAAAGGACAAAAATAAACAAGCAAACTTCTATGAACACAAATCTGTGCAGCATGCATGTAGCTTCCCTTATCACTGGCACCATGCTCCTCTGAAGAAAAGTTAATGAACATTTTTTTTTCTTCTACACAGTGGGAACTGTAGAGTTGCTTGGTATCTTATGCCAAGAAAGTAGAGGTCGCTAAGCCAGTCCTGAGACTGCACAGTCATGCTGTATCTCCCTCTTGACTTCCTGTGATCTTTATTGAAGTTTAAGTAGTATCTTACTCTTGTTTCTTTTTTATTGACCGTAGTTTCTTGACTTCTTCACAGCCCTTATGAAAGGGGGGGACACACAAAAATGCATACAACACACACACACACACACAAGAGAGAGGGGGAGAGAGAATGGAGAGAGAGAGAGAGAGAGAGAGAGAGAGAGAGAGAGAGGAGAGAAAGAGAATTAGAAAACAGGCTGGACAATCTGGATGAGATCTGTTGTTAGACTGTGTGAGTGTCTCAAAGTCATTGTTGGGCTGCTCTAGCATTTGAACATCACTTTTAAAAACTACTGTCAATGACATCATTGGTGGCATTTCAGTCCTGGGCAGATGGGCTGGGATCTCCGTCTTGAAAATGCTTTTTAATAAAACATAGTTGAAAGGTTTGTAAAGAACTCGAGTGAATCACTAACCCTGTGAGCAGTGTGTTTTAAAACATCTTACACAAATATATCTACCAGAATAAATTAGTTTTGAATGGTAACATAGAGAGTAAAATAAACCAAAGTGATTACTTATCATAGGCATTAACCTCCTATAGGAAGAACCAAAGCTATAGAGAAGTATGGAAAATAAAAATACTTCAAAAGTTGAAGGACCATCTCATGTTCAGAAAGTAGCAAAACTTTTGGGGGCTTCTTTTGGTTTGGGGGATTTTGTTGTTGTTTTGGGTTTTCTGGTATTTGGGGCTTTTTGTTTGTTTGTTTGTCCATTTGAAATGTCTACGTATGTCATCATTTTCCACCCAGTAAGCCTCAGCCAGGTGCCTTAATCCTGGTGCTGGGGAAAAACACATGAGTAAAACTTATTCTGAAGAAGAGTCACAGAAAAGAAGGTAGCATAGCCATAGTCTGGAAGATGCTACAACTGAGGTATCAAGGAAAGGAAGAAGCACGCAGCAGGAGGAGAAAGGGGGAGGGGGAAGCTTCCCTAAGATGAGCTGGGTAGATCTTAGAGAAACCAGAGGTCTGATCTTTCAAGGAAGCAGGGACAGGCAGTGGGGACAGAAGCAGCCAGTACACTCTGGGTAAATCTTCCTTGTGCCTTGTGCATTCAGGGAACTGCAGCTGGAGAGGTGCATGGTAGGTGAGATTCTGGAAAGCTTTCCTGAAATGAATTTTGTTACAAGTCAAGGACTTTAGAATGTTCCTTGAAGGAGCCAGGGAAACCCTTAGAGGCTGAAGCAGAAGATGATGTAAATTATATTTTAGACTTTTTTAAATTAGGACTTTGGATACATCCAATGCAAATGGAAGGGTGGGGTTAAATGTCTCCCACTTGGGAGACATGTGTAGGGTGTTCTGTGCCAACCAAAAATGTACGCATGCTTTACAGTATCACCTCTGTTTCAGCTCTCCAAGCCCTTAATCTTTTATCTTTCTACAATGGTATAACCTACTTCCCAAACACTGAAGGCTGCTCCACGCAGATTAATGTTCTTTTTCTAATTCATGAATCCAGAGAGGGTGCCTTGTTCCAATTCACACAATTATTTAAGTGAGAAATAGTATGATTATAAACCAAAGTAAAGAGACCAGTGAATGAAAAGATATTTACAGTGGCTCTTCACGCACCAAATACTTGGAACATTCACAAGGAGTTATAACCAAGTGTCTTGAGTGACTGAGTAAGATCCATGGGAAGGGATAGAGTTAAATGCATTTTCAAATACTAGGTTTGCCCTCATTATTAACAACCTGCTGTGGACCCTGATGTCCTGGTTTGGCTGCCCAGGAAGCTCTGAGTCATAGAATTAGCACTGGCTTTTCTTTACTCTTGATCAGTCAGACTTTGCAGAGCCTTCTGTCCCCAACGTGTTGCTCCTGGGCTCATGTTATCTTACTCTTTCCATCCCTGCTGCTGCTGCTGCTTTTGACCCAAAATTGTATTTCTTCTTAGCTGAACTCCCAAATTAAACTTTCAACCTCCCTCTCTACTTCATTCTCATTGATTCTCAAACCATTTGTTTCTTATGCTCAGTGAGGTCATAACCATATGGAGAACTGAAATTCTCTGGGCAGGGAGATGACTGGGCAGACAAAGGACTTGCTGCCAAGCCTGACGACCTGAGTTCAAACACGTGCAAAGTCTCTCTCTCTCTCTCTCTCTCTCTCTCTCTCTCTCTCTCACACACACACACACACACACACACACACACACACACACACACAAACATTTAAGAGCGAAAGAGCTGAAATTCTCTAACTCCACATTTAGTCTTTCTAAGTTTCCTCTCCAAACTTACCTTCCTCTTTTTCTGTTTCTGATATTCACTCTGACTCAGAAATCTTTGTGTTTTATCGCTCACTGCCAAAACCTTACGCACTTGCCCAAGAAGGATGCCGTGTAAGGTAGGGCCCTTCAAGAATGATCTAAACAAAAACTTTAGAAGATGGAGCTGGAGAGGTAGCAGAGCAATTAAGAGTGTTTCCCGCTCTTCCAGAGGACTCCAGCTTATTTCCCATCACATGCCCAATGACTCACAATGCTTGTAACTCCAGCTCCAGGGAACCCAACACCATCTTTCGGCCTCCAAGGGTACTTGCA